TGGGGAATTCTGGGAGTTGAAGTCCACACATCTTAAAGTTACCAAGGTTGAAAAACACTGCTTTAGGTGAATAATCCAAGCCAGGGAAGGAATATGGGTGGACTAGAGTAATTTAAGGAATAGAAGGGTTGACCTTTCATTACAGAAAGTGAGAACTACTACTTCAACTTTGTACACATGATTCTCTTGAAAAGCATTCTGGTAAAGAGGAAGCAAAAGCACGTGAATGTATTTCTGTTTCTAATATGTCTCCGTTCCTAGTCAGTATTGCTTCTCTCTCAGAAAAGGAGGAAGGGTCAGCTCTGCTCTTAAGTGAAAGGCTTAATCCTTAAGGCTGCCTGTTGGTTCTTGCAGTATTCCAGTGGAGTGTCTCATAAGGGAGAAGTGGGGTGTGTGAAGGTAAAGGGTGATTTCTTTGGAAAGAAGGCTATTCCTTTCTTGCTCTTTTATTATTTTAACCTGGGTGGTCATTTATCTTTTATTAATGAAGGAAAGGAAGGAGTCAGCTGCTGTCTCAGAAGTAAGAGAGTTAACATTCTTCTCTGAAAAGGATTGCAGGAGAACTCCCAGGGGCTCTCCAGCCACCTCTTTTTGGTGTTTAGCTACTGGAGCTGCGTTAAGCAACACAGCAGGATATTCCTTTACTCAACCAGGAGGCAGCTGGCCCCTCCTCCACATACCATCTCGCGCACATGCTTCACCACACTTCCTCGGCCTCAGAATGACTCTTTGGCTCTTTCCACACCATCAGCCTGGTTCCAGAGATGAACGTCTGAGAGTTGCCATCCATCCACCTGCTCTACAGCTGCTTATTGTTTCAGTGGTACATAGAGGACATGCTGAGTGCAGAAGGAAACAGAAGTCGTAAGGAATGCTTCAGGGGTATTCCCCAATTCTCAATGGGCACCCGTGAGAGCAAGTTTCTGCTGGATGCCATTTTATGGTTGCTGAGGAGATGCAGGCTGAGAACTTGACAGGTGGAATGCTCCTGCTTACTTCCTTGGCAACAGCTTAAAATGGTATCAGCCTGTGAGGAACTACTGTGCAGTGTCATTCCTAGCCCAGCCTGGAAAAATGGGGGAAGATACACTGCAGAATAATTTCAGTGCTGCTTCTCTTGCAAAAGAAGCAACTGCTGCAATAAAACATTGCGATTCTGCAACTGTTTTGGTAAGAAAAATGCCAAAACTCTGCCGCCTACTAGCTAGGCAGGATTGGTTTGAGGAGGGGAATGCTTTCTGTTTCTGCTCCCGCCCCCCCCCC